ACAATTCAGGGGTTTCTACACTTTTCTCTGTTGCAGCTGGTTCTGGCCACTGTTAGAGACTGGACTAGATGGACCTCTAGTCTGAGCCGCTCTGAAAATCCCTATGAATATGGCCAAAGCCAATGCTGAGAAATACCAGATTCAATTATAAAAACACAGTTCAATCCAAAGTGTGTTTGCAAGTTTTTACCTGAAGATTTTTAATGATTCCCTCAATCTGGTCATTGAAGTGAGTGGCTATCAGGTCTGCTGCTTTATTCGGGCTCAGTAACAGCAACTCCTGGAGACAGGGGGAGAAAAATACACTACTTTTAGTCTTACAAACTACAGGATCATGCATTAATGCTGATCCCACTCATACTGTAATATACCTAGAAATCTACATGACCATATCTAGAAGTGTAGTAACAGTGAATACCACTGGGTGAAGAATGCTTTTGAAGCAACAATAAAAAAAAGATTAAGAGGTATAGAACAGGCAGAGACAGAGCACAAAAATCCTCATACTGGTGAGGCATGTGCCTCAATCCTGAGCTGCAGGTGTCATCTCGCCAGCTCTTCTTGCCTGCGTTCCATCCCTGTCGCTCTGACAAGACTTCCAGTTAGTGCCAGTTGTGCAGGTGTTTTGGTGATGTGGCTCCTGTTGTGCAGGAAGTGGACTAAGACCATCAGCTAATTTCACAGGCCATTCATTGGCAAACAAAGAGTAATAACTTCAGATCAATACAGGCCTCTGTTGGACTGAAACCAGTGACAAAAAGGCTCTATATCATATCTGACATCATTAGGGAACCTAAAACGGAATCGTTTTTCACCAGGGAAATATCACTACAACAAAAACAGACAGGATGGCAGGTGATGGGAAAAAGATAAATTCACAAAGAAAATTGTAATTCATTCTGTTCTGATCAGAAACACTTTTCCCTCAATTACATACTGTCCTCACAGGTCATACAAAGATTAATTTTTCACTCATGCACTTATGTTGGTAAGAGTAAGTTATTCACATATAAATATGGCACCAAGGGAACCTGAAAAGCATTGAAAGAATGTGATACAGCACTATTCAGGGACTAGCACAATAGATAAATTATAGTGGGCCACTACTAAAGCAATATAAAACGTGTTTCTAGCAAAGCCTACCTTACAAGTACTCAGAACTTTGGCATAAATATTCTTTTCAGACGAGGAATGGACAACTTGACTAAGTCAGAGTGATTTCTTTTGCCAAGCTTCACATAAAATGAATCATATTTACAGTTACCCAAAGTTAAACTCAAAGCTTCTAATTGTTTAAGTTTAAATAACTGAAAATGATCATTTTCAAATGAAATTCGGTACATCATTAATCCTCATGGAAGATAATTGCTTAGCTTACTTTGGAGAGAGATTTTTCATCCTGCAAGATAACAATTGTGAAAAATAATGTACCAAGAATGAACAGTGTTTCAGCTCTATAATCACATTGTCATTGAAATATAGTTTTAATGATGAAAGTTAACTTGAAAACAAGTTATTTACCAGCAACTTGGCCTCCAAATGAATAAAATAATATTCACCACTTCGGTGTTATACAAATAGCTGAGAATTTTTGTCTCAAACTTTTTTGTTTTTTTATTTTAAAATTGTGTTTATACTGAACTTTGAAAAAGGGGAAGGAGAGTTGTTTATTGGTTAGAGCAGAGGACTGGGAAACAGGGTGTGTGTGTGGTATTCCTGACTTTGCCACTGATGTGCTATGTGATTTTAACTTAACCTCTCTTTGACTCAGTTTGCCTCTGTAAAATAAGGATATTATCTTCTTTACAAGACACCAACCCATCGTGTATTGTCGAGTGCTTAGATGGAAGGCACAGTAAACATGCACACTGAAAATACACACACACACGACAAAACGTATGGCAGCTATCAACTCCCCCTTTGCAGTGCTTCAGGAAACTCCTCTTCTACAAACCCTACCACAACCAGCTATGCCATCCTCAAAGGCAATACTCTCCTGCCTACAAAGAAGTACAAGGTGGATAAAGGAGAAACTGGTTTAAGTTCAGAAAAACAAGCAATTCAGTCTATGCTGTACCTCAATGTGTTTCATAGCCTTCTGCCACACTGACTGCTTCTCCTCGGCACTGTACCCAGGAATGGATAGGATATTGTGGATGTAGTTGAACACTTCTTCCTGAAAGGCATAAAGTAAGAAGGTATAGTATGTTCTGTCCCAGCAATCTGAAAATTCATCTGGGAAGTGCATCAGTGACAGCTTGAAAACTCACTTATTTGGACACAGTCATTTTCAGACTAACCACTAAATTGTATTTGCAACATGGACAATTGGTTATTTAAGGATTTCTTTGGTTGTTAGAGGTGAAGATAAACTGCTAGGGAGGTTTAACATAATAGCTCTGCTCACACAATTAAAACACACAGTCACAGAAGGAGTGCACTTCAGAAGCAGTACTAGAGCTAGCCCACCTTGGGAAGCGCCACTTCCAATGACTGAATAGTTGGACAACCTCAGCTACTGATAACAGTTATGGTTTGACCTTAAGTAGTTCCTAAGGGAGCAAAGGGAAAGTATGAGGAGAAGTAGAATTGTACGTGAAAAGAAGTGGCTGAGATGGTTGACAAAGAGCAGCTTTGCTCTAATAACTGAGGAGATCCAAGTAGTCATCTTTTTCCCTTCAGGGGAGGATGGAATGTGACCCCTTGCCAAAGAGAACAGATGAGAGGAGGGTGGAGCGTATTCCTTCAGAGTGAAGGTCATTGCTCCCACCTTCCCACTGTATTACTTGCTAGCGCTCACATTCTCTCCAAGATTCTCCTGTGTCATCCTCAGCAGCATACCACTTCTCCTTTATCCTCCCCACTTCCATCTACCACTCTATCTAATCCTCTGTTTCTTCTCCCTGTCTCTATTATCTACTTTTCTTTTCACTTCTATATGGGAGAAGGAGAAAAGTAGATTTCAGCCTGCAAGTCTGTAAGAGGTTCGCAATATCAGATCTAATATTCCAAAAAGAGATAAGCTGCAAGACTCTTCTACTGAGTCATGCTGCTGTCAGGTATGAAAATTGGGCAGAAAAATGCAGAGTAATTTTCATTGACTTAATGGAAGATCACTTAATTGCAGCCAAAAAATAAGAGGGGTTTGAAGTCTCTCTCTCTCTCAGGAGAGGGAATCGTGGGCAGGGACAGAGGCGAACTGCTGGGAGAAACACTGGGAGCATGCCAAACTTAGGAGCAAGCCTAAGCTCAGATGTATGTTATCTTGTGGTTTAAGTTAACAAAAGACAAACCCCAGGAAGGAGGTGACTTTTGGACACTAACCTAAGCCTCAACTACACTAGAGAAATCAATTGTAAAACTGACTGGGAGAGGAAAAAAAATCTAGATGAGAATTGAGAGTTTAAGGACATTTTACTAAATGTCAATAAATACAAATCCCGTAATCATTTAACAATGCTGCATCAGTTTAAAAAAATCCTGGTTTAGTGAAGTGAAAGCAACAATAAAAAATAAAAAGATTATCTATAACACATGGAAAAAATAAGAAATTGATAACAATGAATATAAATCAGAAGTTAAACAGACATTACAGGAAGGCAGGTTAAATGATCATAACGGCCTCTTCTGGCCATAGAATCTATGAAAGTATCAGAAGAAAAGTCTATGGCCAGCTAAATTAAGGATAATAAAAAGATTAAAAAAGATATATTAGGAACAAAAGGAATTGTAATAACTGTTTATAACTAAATGAAGAGGGTACATTATCAATAATGATACAGACAAGGCAGAAACATTCAATAAATATTTCTATTTGGAAATAAGCTGGATGACGTATTCATATAATAGAATGATTAAATACTTTCTATTCCAACTATAAGCACAAGGAGGATGTTAAACAGCATCTACTAAAGTTAAAAAAATTTAGGGTCAGCAGGACTGGATAATTTGCATTCAAGAGTTTTAAAAGAGTTGGTTGAGAAGCAATTTGACCCACTGGTGTTAGAAAGCTAATGACAGCCACCTCACCTGGACTTGTGTAAAAGAGCCCTACTATGGATGGATGCAAGAGCAAACCTTACAGTTATTCAGGATGGGTATTGCGGACACACTGAAAATCCGCATAAAACAATTAACTGCTACATACAAAGGTCATTGAACACTCTAGTGTAGACCAGGACTCAGCGTGTGCCCAGGGTTGACGGAAAAGGAGGGGGTTCTAACCGTACAAGGTCGATGACAGGAACTATTTTACCTGCTGAGGGGGGTCAGGGAAAGAGGAGCTACTCTCTTCTTGGCTGAGGAAAAGTTTAGAGCATTACATATTTACCTACCTTTCTCACTGGATCACGTAAGTAACAATCAATGATTTTGTCATAGAGATGCTCCCGTTCATACATAAACTCACAAATTTGGTAGCTGAAATAAAGAAAGTTTGTCATGTTAGAAAGACTCTGCTCTTCAACACCAGATAAGAAATGGAGTATAGAATGTCCATCTCATTCTCAGCTCTGAGGCAGCAGAAAACAATTACACAGCCCAGACATGAGGGGATAAATATGTAATTTACAAATAATAATAGCATTATTAATGAAGTGTCCTGTCTAAATACTCCTGGAGGAATATTTCCCTGCTGCCCTTGTGAGTGGAAGTGCCCCTAGAAACCTGCTCATTATCTCCAATCATTTGTGATGGAACTGAACAGTTATCTTGGGCTGTTGGTTAGAAACCAAGACAGAAAACTAAGGATGCAGGGAAAACAGCTATATTACAGGGATGATCAGCTGCATTCTGTTTCTGCCCTGCTACTTCAGACTGGTTTGACACCCCTCAAGTAAACTAATTATTTGGTAGCAATCTGAGTTTTTCCCCCTCAAAAAGTTTCTTATTGGTCAGAGAATAAAGAATTCTTTCAGGACTGTCTTCTGCCATTTTTCACAGATACATAGATTTTAAGTCCAGAAGAGACTATTATGAACATTTAGTCTGACCTCCATCCTAGTCAGAAACAACAAGGAGTCTGGTGGCACCTTAAAGACTAACAGATTTATTTGGGCATAAGCTTTCGTGAGTAAAAACCAGACTCTCACCCAATAATTCCTGCATCAAGTACAGAACCTTCTAGCTGAGCTAGTGCAGATCTTTTAGGAAGAGAAGTCCAATCTTGATTAAAAACTGTAAGTAATGGAGAATCCACCTCATCATTCCTGGGTAAGTTGTTCCAATGGTTAAGTACTAACACTGTTGAAAGCCCCAGGTTTTTCACAAATCAGACCACAAAACAAAACAAAATACAATGAAAAACTCTCAGCACAGCAGTGACTCCTGCCCCGTGGGCTGGGCCTCAGCTTCCCACTCCAGGCGCTGCAACCTGCTGCACAGGGTGACAATATTACTCATGTTTGGACTGGCTGCCCCTCCATCATCATGACAGAGGGGCAGCCATTCCAAACCTGAGCGGCACTGCAACCCTGTGCATCAGGTCGCTATGTCCGCTGCGGGAAGCCAGGCCTACCTCTGCAGGATGAGTACTAGGCAGGCTCACTCAGCAAACTCCTGCCTGGGGACAGGACCCAGCACCCTCATGTGGACAAAATGGATAAAATTGAACACAAAATTCCTGAAAAATAAAATGAAAAAACTATAAAAAACAACGAAATGTCACAGGGTTCTAAGGATTTGCGTCATATTTCTAGTCTGAATTTGTGTAGCTTCAGCTTAAAAACTATTTTTCACCAAAAGCGCTCCCAAACAATGAGACACCTGTTTACAGGGCTGAAAAAAATGTAATTTTGGGGAACCAGCTCTATAAACAACATAGATCCCAAAAATGAGTGGAGCCTGTCAGTCGTCTTCTCCAACTCTCATCCATTCCCTCCCCATTTGGCTCGTGATAAGCTCCACCGAATGAGGCACTGCCATGCTTCAGTTGGTCCTCCCCGTCACAAGACTATGGTCCAACCTTCATCCCGCCTGCCTCCCTACAACATGAAAGTCTTACTGTAGGATAAATGGGCAACCCAGTGATGGGTAGCAAAGGAGCGTGCTGGTTTTTATTTCCAAAATACGGCCAACTCTAGGCTAAACATGTTGTCTGAGGAATGCATGGTGGAGTGTGGCATATGAAGTGCTGCTACTGTTGGCCAGCTTTCATATCTAACAATGAGTTTTGTTTCCAAAGCCAGGAAGAAATTACATAAAAACAGTGTCCAAACTGAAGCAAGCACGGTCTGTGTGCCAGGCTTCAAACCTTCTGATGGACTTGCCTTCACAGCCGGCTATAATAGAGGAACTGCACTGGTACAGCTTCCTGACTGAGCTCTTCCAGGCAAGGGAAGATGATCATTCCTAAGGGGAATCCATGTTAATTCCCAGAGCTATCAACTGTTTTACAATGCTGCTAACCACATGGTGTCGCTGATGCATTTGCAGGCCTTACCAGGGACTGACAACATTGCTTGAGTGACCTGTTCTGGGTGCTACTGAAAGGCATAACTGAGCACTTGCTTGTCTTCATTAGACTCATGCCACCCAACTTTATATTCCAGTGCTTCTGTCCTTCCTAGTATGGGGGAAAAGAGCTCACCATGTCTGAAGTTGCGGCTTGGATGGAGAATACTTTCAGGAGGGGTAAAGTTGCCAAAGGAGATGGCGGAAATTCTCAGCACCTCTGAAAGATGGGTTTATGTCTGCTGTTTGATTTTAGGGTTGGCAACCCGAGGACTGATCTGAATCCCCAGATGCTTCTAAATGCCTTTAGGATGTGGACCCCCCCCCCACTCCATAGTCACCCATCATTACATGATAGTCATTACAATATGCCCTACAGAGACCAGGTGAAACTTGACTATTTTACTTTCCATGATAGAATTAATTCAAAGCTAGTCAAGTTTCACATGATTTTGGGTTCCATTCTGGAAGGTTCACACAGCTCTGCAGACAGTACTAAGAACGTTAAATACAAATGGATTGCGAGAGTTAAGATACGAACTGACAATAAGGACATAAAAGCGAATATGTTTTGAGGAAAGTAATCCAAGAACAGCTGCAGAACAGCACTGAGATACTTGGAATGACTACATAACTTCAGTGATGATTAGAATGGCTGAGAGGGCTACAGGAGGACTTTTAAAAATCAGGTATTATACACTGTAAAAACAAAAAAAGCTTACAATTCAGCTTTTTCTGCCATAGGGATGAGACGATTCTCTTCAAACTGTACTATCCCTCCAGCTTGCAGTAGTTCTAAAAGGACCTGAAGAGATATTGAATAATTATTATTTGTTTTGTGGTAGTACCTACGGCCTTGGATCAAACAAAGACTGTACCTGTCTGAAAGAGCTCACAACCTAAGAAACTGAATATTACTGTTGGGTTTTAGTTTACAGGTTTAATTTTGGTTCTCCATCAATTTGAAGGTCACATTTCCCTAGGATTTTCCTGATGGTGCTATTGCTATCAAACACAAAACAAGTGCAGGAAAATGAATGACCCTCTCTGCCAGTGATACCCTAGCAACAGGGAACAGGAGTTATGTAGGAAATTCAATGACAGAGAAAACCAAGTAGCCTGGATCTTCCCAATTAATTAACTTAACGCCAGAGAAGGCGATAAGACATGACCCACCAGGGGAGAGGGAGAACTTGCTGCAAGGATGATAAAAGAAAATAATTCAGAGGCTACAAATCAGAAAACTAATTATTAAACAAAAGCAACCGAACTTAGGCCATGTCTAAGTGAGACAGCTGCACTGATTTAACTTCAACTGGCTTTTAAATATTTGCATATTTTGTCCTGGTTTTAAATGGGAACATTTTCATTTTCTACTCCAACTCCATCTCTCCCATAGCATCCGTTATTCTTCTACAGAGATAGGAGGGCTATACATGTCAGGAAAAAGACAACATTTAGGTACATGTAAGGCCTAGTAAGACTGAAGCATAAATAGGAATTGAAGTAAAACACTTGAGCCCAGATATCACAGTGGTAGTAGTGTGGAGGGAATGCACTGTCCCAGTTAAACCTAGACAAATGCCATGTTAACTCCATGTGTGTCACACTTTCTGCAGGAGTCTAGATTACAAGAGTCCTGATGGCCCTGGTTCATTTGGGGACAAGAGGAAAGTTCTCTCTGTCTCTTTAGGGGGCTGTTTCAGATGCCAGGAGATGGGATCTATAGTACCCATCTCCAGGTCCTGTTCTGCCACTGCTCCTGGCTTTGCCCTGCTACTGTCCTCCCTTCCCACCCCCCCAGTGAAAGTTTCCATTTTGGTACATTAGCTCCAATAAACCCTGTGGTCACTCTCTCTGTCTTCTGACCAGGTTAATCCTCCTCTAGAGATTGGTAATTCCTAGCACTTCTTTTTTGATCAGTTTGTCTCTTACACATAGTGAAATACACCTCTAAAGATTGCTACCTGCTGTCTCTCTGAGTGTCGGGAATCGTCATCAGGGCTGCACAGAAATTCAAGGACCTGGTCAAGGAGAAAGATGACTATTTTCATTATATATTAAAAAAACAACGAGGAGTCCTTGTGGCACTTTAGAGACTAACAAATTTATTTGGGCATAAGCTTTTGTGGGCTAAAACCCACTTCATCAGATGCATGGAGTGAAAAATACAGTAAGCAGTATATTATATACACACACACACACACACACACACACACACACGAAAAGCTGGGAGTTGCCTTACCAAGTGGGGGGTCAGTACTAACAAGGCCAATTCAATTAAGGTGGAAGTGGCCTATTCTCAACAGTTGACAAGAAGGGGTGAACATCAAGAGAGGGGAAATTACTTTTGTAGTGCTAACAAGGTCAATGCAATCAAGGTGGACGTCGGCCATTTCCAACAGTTGACATGAAGGTGTATCAGCAGAGGGAAAATTACTTTTTGTAGTGACCCATCCACTTTCAGATGTTTGTGCAGCCTTACTCTAAGCCTCTGAGGTCTTTCATTAAATACACTATTATGCATTGGTGTTGCCCCACCAAATCAGGCTATAGACTTGCCTGCTCTAGGGTTTGTATGAATTGGTATAGCAACACCAATGCAGCTCCATTGGTGCAAACCCCTAGTAAGGTATAGCTTATCCTGGTTTCAGACTGTACAGAAACATGCTGTACATTAAACCATTCCTTATACAAACCCATATACATTATACTTAGTTGATACATTCTTAAATCAGGTAATCTGTTGGGCCCTTTATTCTGGCATCCCACAGTTAGTGGCATGCCTTTACTGTTCTCAGAGAGAGGGTTGCAGCCAGTGCCAAAAGATTAATATTTTGGTTCTCTCCTTCCCAACACCTGCACTTTCCCCAAACACACAAAATCTACAGGAAACAGATGGAAGCCTGTCTTTCCATGGCAAGGAAAGACTCCAGGGTCTGAGGAAAAATAAAAGATAAACAGACACTATAACATTGTTACTGCACACGGTCTTCACCTCAGGAGACATGTGGAGGGGACAGAAGCAGAGGTTTCCCCCATATCTCTCACAATTACATAAATCACAGCAGGCTGAGATAAGAACAAGTATTTAAAACTTTAGCACTTTAGTGCTGCCTTCTCCATATTGTTTCTGAAATCACAACCACTGAGCCCCCAGCCAGTATCCCACCCACTATGTGGCAGGTAACAGATCTTCAGTACAGCCTGAACCTACAGTGCAATTTGCAATTTATTTGTGGAACCTGCATGTCAGAAACCTCCATATTTAGCTGAGGTTCCCTCAGTGACAATGGAACATTTACCTGGTCAAAAAGCGTCCTGTTTACAAACAGTGTATTGTTGGGCTTAGCCAGCTGCCGGGCAAGAAAGGTAAAAAGACAGCCAACTTGTGATGGGGTGAAATCAGAATTTTCCACCATAACCTTGTGAGCGAGAGAAAAAACAAACATGATTTATCCATTATGCAATCACCTTTGAAACACACAAAACGACGCGACAGCATGACACACTAGAAGTAACACTAGCTGCACCAGAGTGAACTGTGAGGTGTTTAGAGAGCAGCACAGCATCTTACAGGCTTTCAAAGTTGTGGCAACACAACTCTGCTTAGTGATCAAGCCTGTTACTTCCTTACATGCCCATTCAACATAATGTACTTCTGTCTTGGAGATAGTTTCATTCACTAACAGTCACCCTGTTTGGTATTCTTTCCTGCATGGTTTTAAAAAGTAGCTTTGGCTCCCATTTCAGATTAGGTCAGATGTCCCGATGACCCAGTTAGAAAGCAAGTGACTAGCAGCATAAGCGAAAGCTGGAAAAAAGGCACAAGGGCCTGGAACAGAGGGAGTACGGGGGAAGCCAGGTGGGGCTGCACTTACATGTAGTTGCTTGGGTATCTATCTATCTATGGCTGGGTAAGGGGATTCCTGAATTAACAGGGAAGGCATACTCAGACATGGTTACCTGAAGAGATGAAATGGATGACTGCCTACACTCACTTCTATGAAAAAAGAACAGGAGTACTTGTGGCACCTTAGAGACTAACAAATTTATTAGAGCATAAGCTTTCGTGGGCTACAACCCACTTCTTCGGATGCATATTGAGTGAAACATATCGAGGAGATATATATACACACATACAGAGAGCATGAACAGGTGGGAGTTGTCTTACCAACTCTGAGAGGCCAATTAAGTAAGAGAAAAAAACTTTTGAAGTTGCCACAAGTACTCCTGTTCTTTTTGCGGATACAGACTAACACGGCTGCTACTCTGAAACTCACTTCTATGGTAGAGGCACCTGACTGAAGGGAGACGGGGTTGTGCTCATGCTTCAGAGGGTGTGAATTTGCACACATGCTCTGGTACTTTAAGGACTCTGAATGAAGGGGAGTCTGAACAAGCTTGGCTGCCTGGAGCCCTGGAATAAAAAGGGGATATTTGTGCCTAGACTTCACTGTCTGGGGAGGGGACTCCTACAGGAGAATCTGTGGCTATGTTCTGGAAAATGAGTTACTGAATGAACAGGAGGGTCTCATTGCCTGTGTATGTGTACAATGGGGTGCTGTTCCCAAGCGAGAATGCCTGTGAAGCAGCTGAATTAAGAGGAGCATGTTTTAGCCATGCTCAGTATCTAAGGAGCCCCCAGGCCAAAGATTTCCAACTTGAGTACCTAGAGCCTTTAAACTGCAGCCCTTCAGGGAGACTTAAGGAGAAAAAAAAAATCATTTGATTATGAATTGAGAGACCTATTCTGGGGTGCAATCCAGACCAGTGAGGAGTTGTCTCACTATCTGCCCGGTAACCCTGGGTGCCTCACAATGCTTTGCAGTTGTAGCTCCCAACCTGGGCTGCTCACAACCAGCCTACCAGCATGCAGGTCACACCCTGAATGTGTCTGCATTCATGGCTGCAGCCCTGGTCCAGCAGCCGTGATCCCAGCAGCCTGCCAATAACATATCTCACACATTGACTTCCACCAGCCTTGGTTACAACCAGCGAGATGACCCCAACACACTCCAGTCCTGAATTTCCCCCAAATTGTGTGCCCTCAAGTGCCCAGCCCTCTCTTGGACAGGTTCTTTGCTCCTATAAACAGACAAAACCCACATCACAGCTTATTAATGTAACGGGGGTAAACAAACTCTTCTCTTTAAGCACAGCACTGAGTTAGTTTATAGTAAAATAAAACAAATTTGTTAGCATCACTTAACCTATGTCCTATTGGTAAGTAAAAGGGAGAAAATTAGACAGGGTTACAAGGAAGTAAAAATGAAACCTGCATCTAAAAGTTTAGAACTTAATCTAGCAAAATACAGGCTTTGCTCAAGATAATCTTTGTGCAATAGTGTGTAGTGTGAACATAGGGGTGTTTAGTGTCACAGAGTTTCCTGAGCTGTGCTATATGATTGTTAAACTCAGGTGTTTGAATCAGCCTCACCAATACAGGAGGAAGGAGGCGTTGCCTCCCCAACTGCCTCCCACTTCTTCCTAGCAGCCCCCGAGCAGCTCCAGTGAGCCAGGAGAATTCTGCACAGCTGTTTTGCCTTCCTTGTTTCAGCTGCTCAACAGCTCCCATACAGTCTGTTTGCTGAATCAGAGGAGGGGGAAGCAACACTGATTGCTCCATTGCCAGCTTCTGTGCTGAGATTTGGGAGCCCCAAAGAGAGCACTTAGCAAAGGATGGCTCCCCACCCTACGCAGCCACCAAGGGCAGCCCAGCAAAAGGGGAAGAGGAGAAGCTGAGAAACAACAACAAGCCTTAGGGCTAACATATGCCAGTTGGCAATGGTCCTCAAGGGACCATATGCCAGCCAAGGACAGCCAGAGGGCAGCACACAGCACCCTCTGCCCCTCCATACCTCTGCACAGGAGGAAAGCATGGGCGCTATGCCAGCTCCATGCTTACTGGGGATAAGGGGACTTGTTCCCTGTGTCTCACCTGAACACTACTAATGGAGCAGAACAAGGAAGAAAACGTGTCAAAGTAATGATTGCGGCCCCCTGACCTTGATGAAATGTATTTGGCTTTCAGGCTGAACACCACTGCCCTATATTAAAGGAAGCGTTGCCTGGGCATGTTTGATTGTTTGGGGGAACTCTGAATGACAAAAGGAGCCTCTGCCTACTCACATCTCTCTCTGGCCCCGAAAGATAACAGCGAGCCACCCTGATGTTCCTGAATGGGGATTCTTGCCCCTGCTTGGGTAGGAAGGCAAAGATGAATAATGGGGCGGGGGGGGGTGACTATGCCTATGCTTGGCTGTCTGGACTCAACTGTGCTCAAGCTTTGGTGCCTGGGAGAAAACACTGGATGAAGCAGGAGAGCCTATCTTAATGCTAAAATGAGTGAAGAACCCAGGATAAAGGATGAGTCCATAAAGGTCATCTTAACCAGTGTAAGGTAGATAGGGGCCAGTAACGATGTTAATCATGGAACAGCACCGTGTTATGTTTCAAGGATAAATCAATATCATCTCACTTTTCCTTATGTTTCATTATCTATAAAAGGATTTGTGGAGGTTACTGTATGAAATAAAATGTTACCTAAGAACTAAAATATTTCTCTAGTCAAATAAACTAGATCACTAAAAGGAGCTTTCCTCTTTCACAAATTCACAAGGAATCGGTGCTAGTTGTTTCTCAAGCTGAGGACTCGTTATATAAAGCATAAAAAAGCTTTTGTTTGCTGAACCTGAATTAAGGTTTATGGTCCTAGTATTAATAAATACTTATCAGTATCACCTCCCCATCAGATTTTCCACTCCAATTCTGCCACCTACAGACAAGATGTGATCATGGTCTCTAAAAATGTTATCACTTATGCACTGGCAGCAGATACATTCACAAGAAAAAGGTCAATCAAAATCCAAACAACGAAAAACACATTTGCTATTGTCTGCCTGTCTACAGCTGGCAGCAACATTGTTCTGAACTCATCAGTGAAGCACAGTAGCGACAGCTTGCAAGGCAGTGCAAACATTGGCCTGTGCCCACTAAAGCACAGAAGCAGCCCTCTGTAGTTAGCTGGAAGGGAGGATTTAAAGAAAGGATATGGGGGGAGGGCTGGGAGTAAAAACTTTCAAAGAAGCTTGGGCAGAAATTCACAATTTTGCTGAGGCACTGGAGCGGTTCAAAAAGGTTATTTTTTAAATATCAAGAGTGTACTTTTCTCACTGTCTTCGTTCTCAAATAGATGAGCCTTTTTGGCTGTCACTAGAATACATACAAAATATGTGGAGGTGATATCCATGTGCTAAAAACATTTATCACATACCTATGGCTTCATTGTCTATCCACTCATCCATCTTCAGAGATTCTAGTCTGCATCCCAACCCGCTGAGCAATCTCAAACAGCCAGCATTTACAACCCCCACAATAGCAGGTTCTGGATCATGTTTAGAAAGCTCACAGTCTTGTGGCAGGAGTGGGGGGGAGGGAGGGGAGGAGAAAGAGCTGGAGAAGGAATGGCCACCATATATGCTCTCTTGATTTTTTCTTTTGCTGATGTGTGATTGCATTAGGAAGATTTTTTTGGAGGGAACCATATAAATGATGCATCAGATTTATTACAGTTCTCACCCCCTTTGGAAGCCAGTCGGGGAGTACTAAGGAACCTGCTCCCCGCGGGGGAGAGGGGTTGAAGGGGGGGAAGGAGAGGAGGGGAAAGAGGTACTTGGAATGCTGGTCCTGCTTGCTAAAAGGGTATGTCTTTTGGAAGTAGCTGTGATAACCAAGACCACCTTCCCCTTTATCTGTACTTAGGGGAACATTTTCAATTCTCTAGTGAAATCTGGCAGTTCTTCAGACAGTTAAAACCTGTGTGTGAAGAAATCTGCGACTTATCACCCGAAAATTCATGAAGAAGTCAGTTGATTCTTGATTGAGTCCTTGTGTCTGAGTTAGGGCAATAGGCAATTCCCTCACACTGCGGGAGGTCCCAGACACCCGTGTGTGCTGGGGGTTCTATATACTCAGTGCTGGATTAAGTTGCTTTTTGAATGGAAGAATGACAGAGTGCCAGGGTCACAGAGATGGAACAGAATAAGTTGAACTTGCAAGTCTTGTAGTTGCTTGTTGAGGGGCTCTGGCTATTCCTGTTCTGCCAGGCAAGCGAGGTGGCACTATAGGCTGTGCCACGTGCGAGGAAGGGATTCTCCCCCTGCATATTTTCTCTCAAATTCAATCAAGTTACAGGAAAGGAGGTCTGTTATATGAAGTATTCTGAGAGTGTCTCCTAAAGCTGCTGTTCTCCAGTAAGCCTAACGAGCTTAACCCATACAGTCCTGTGGAGGCAGAGAAATCCAACATGACCCTGGAGGCAGGCCTGAGGCACCGTCACTATGACTGACCTTCAAAACTTTACCTCCCGTTGTCTCATGACACATGGCAAAGCCTTTTAGTTAAGATTAGTGGATGTGACTCA